CGATTACGTGAGGTGCAGCCTGAGATGATATTGTCTAAAGATACATCTATCTATAGTAAAATCTTCTTCACTCAAATCCATTCTACCGTATAAAGGTATAACTATCCTACAAAAACAATCTCATAATGTGATTTTATGTAATATTATTAAATTGAAATTTAAATTGCATATAGTGCATACATTACGATTATAAAATATATAAATTGCTACGGAATTAATAAATTAATAAATTCGAAAAAAATATCGTATTTATAAAAGGAGTCACCTTTTTCCCCGTAGATCATCAAGCTGACCAGATAAAATTGCAGCTAAAGCAATTGCTCCATAACAGTCGTAGTAACATTCAGACTTGTGTAGTTGTATAGATGCATAATAAATCCACTCTGGAGCTACGGAAATAAACCTGTCGATCACGCAACGTGGTATGTTTCTTAAAGGACACGCTACATACTCTTTCGTAGGAATATTCAATTCTTTAGGTGAATCCGTTTGTTTTTTCACCTCTTGGAATAAATCAGAATTTGTACCTTGAACTTCCTAAGAATTAAGATTATAATACAAATAATTTATCTAAGTGAATACAACACTTTTCCTTGATGTACTAATTAATGAAACAAAATAATGTATAAATTATATATATAGAAGAGCTATTAACTTACAATAACTGTTATTTTTGAATTGCACCCTTTAATAGCTATTGCAATAGCTGTTGTTAATCCGCAACCTTCAATTGCCGTCGGCAAAAGTACCACATCAATTTCACTTTGTTGCTTTATAATTTCTATGCCCAAGGTGGCTTGACCAATAATCATGTTTGGATGATCATTTCTATCGAAGAAATATTAAATAATTTACTCTCATGAACTTATTATTAACGAAAGAAGTATATCTTTTGTGGTAATAATAAAAATGATAAAATAAATTATTAATTAATGTCTTTCAAATTAACTAATTTTTGAGTGATAAAATTGGAAGCATACCGAAAATAGGTATATTATATTGATGAAAATATTTTTTTTTAACGAAAAGATATTTTTACTTAATACGAGTAATTCGATGGGATGCACTAGTAGCGCATATTAAAGCCGTTGCATACTGACTTAATTTGAGTACAAAAACAAAATATAAATATTTCAAATGATAAAAAACAGATATTTTTACTTATTACATAACATTTTAACATGTATTAAGGATTTCAATTGAAGCTTTTTTTATATTTATATTAAATACATCTTTATGTCAACATAATTAACACACAATATTTAAAAAATATTTAATTAATATTTATTACATGTAAAAATATTAATTAAACACTTAAAAAATATTTTTTTAATATTGTATGCTGATTGGGAATGTGTTGAAAATTTGATTGGATGCATTCATTGCTTAATGGTGCGTGTTAAAACGACAATAAACAATGAATGCGGCCAATCAAATTTTCAAAAGATTTTGTTAAAAAGAAGATTACCCATCAAGATAAAATAAGTCTTCCTTCATGGCGATGTCTAAAGCGGCACGATGAGCTTCTAGTAAGTTATTACCCCTGACAAGCACTCGTGCTAATAGATACGCTCGACATATCCCGAGTTTTTCTTCTGCCGTTGTTGTTGGCAGCACCACCGTCACCGGTATCTTATATCGATCTCCATAATGACAGATAATAAATGCAAAGCTGCCCGATGAGATTATTATGACACCTTTGCATTTCTGCTCTTCTGATAGATGTAGCAAACTGTAAATCACGCCGCGTGCTTTGATGCTATCGGTAACTTGATAAAGTTCTTTCTTCAGATAAATATTGAAACCCCTTTCGTTGAGTATGCGTTCGCTCTAAAACAATCATATTACATACGATTAATAAATACTCTTAAAAGATTCTTTATTTATATTTTGCATTGCAAGAGATAAAGAGAGAGAGAGGGAGAGGAATGTAGGAATCAAATTCACATTTTTTTGTTCTACAATTTATGTTTATAATATACGATAAGATTATTATTTAAAATAGTTCTTAAATTGTAAATTATTCATTTGCAACAACAACGCAATGCAACTAAAAAACAAAATTTTCCAGAAAATGAATTCAAAAATGTTTTGAATTATTAAAATTTTCTAACATTAATTTTGAAATTTTGCAATTTTTATATAATAACTGATTGCAGAGCAATAAAAGTATATTTTTCTGCTTTATATGTTTTTATTTCTTTTTTACAAGCAGATAAAAAATAACAACATTTTTCGGTTATTTTATCGTTGTAGCAAATATCCATAATATATAATTTATTTTGATTTATAGTTATAATTAGTTATTTTAAGTCTTTTTAATATATAAAATAAAAAAATATACTTTTTATACTTATTAATATATCTTATTTTTATACACACTTGTGTAATTGATATTTACATATTTTGAAAAATATGGATCGTACAATTTTGTGATTGTACTTTCAAAGCATACATAATGACATGTTTATAAATGTCTCAGATTATTAATTTATACTAATTTTAAAAGTGTTAAGAATTAAACTTTATAATGTTATTTATTACCTGGAAGCAAGGTGTTTTCAAAATATATCCGTTTAGGAAAGACGCCGCCTGTTTGATTGTGACATATGAAATTTCATATTCTTCCCCGGGTGCTGATTTGATATATCCCTTTTCAATTACATTCTACAAAAAAATATTAAACTGACTAATTTGCGTATCTCTTCCACATTTCACTGAATGTACACAATATAATATATGATTGCGATTATTATTTCGGATAATGCAAATAAATCATTAGTGTATTAATATCGAATGGGGAAAGAGTTTTATATTCTTTAATACAATTATTTTCAAAATAGGAATTGTATCATTTTCTACATTTTTGGAATGGAATTTCACTTTAAAGAGTAAAAATTGATCCAATTTGGAAAAAATAGTTCAATTTTTAATCTATGAAAATGAGATTTCACTCATCAAAGTGAGATATACTCTAAAAATTTTAGACAGTACGCGTAAAAGTATAATTATGTATATTCTACATATCAATATACTTGATGAATATTTTGCTTTGAAATTAAGTGATTGTAAAAATCTAAAATTATACCCATTCAAAATTAAAGCCTTCCCGTTTCAAAGTGCGGGCCACAGTATAAGAAAAACTCCGCGCATTCGATGTCACAGTCTCCATCAATTGTATTACTGATGTTATTGATTCTATTGCTGTCTTCATCGATTCCATTGCTGTTACCGTCGATTGCATTGCTGTCTCCTCTGTCTTCTGTTTTTTTTTCTTTGGCGACATGTTTAAAATTAAAAAATTGCATGAGAATCACTTGCAATTACAAACTGCACTAATTAAAGGGTAATGTCGAACTCAAATTTTTAATTATCGGTTTTGGATACAAGTAACTTCTCGCAAAGAATTGACCAACTTGTCAATAATAAATACATCTATCATTCGTTCTTTTCTAAAGCTTTTGTTTTCTTTTTGTGTAATAAAAGAAGAAATGGAAGGAATAAAGGAGAGAAAGAGAGAATAGATATGTATATATTTTGTCTTTATACTTTGCAACCAACCAATGACACCCGATAAATAATGAATGTTTATATTCCTTCTCTCTTTATATTCTGTATCTATATAATCTTCATTTTTTTAATTTTTAAACTTTTTGATTTTATTTTCATATTTTAATTTATTACACGTTAATTAAATTTTAATATCTGTTTAATTATTGAGAGATGATTTTACTTGTCTCTCCCCCTCTCTTTAAGTTCGAAAAATAATTTTTATTATTCTTTGACGTAGGAATGAAGACAAAAATATTTTTGCAAATATGAAAAATATTATGAATTTCAGCTTTATTGTAAATACAGCTTTTTTTCTTTAATTAGTGAAAAAAATGTGTTGTAATAAATCATATTATTGTTTGTGTCAATCTTTGATTGCCAACAGTGATACAAAAGTAAAAATTGCCCGATTTATATAATCGAAATATATATATTTTTCAATTTCATACGTTTCTTTAGAACGCATTATATATATATAATCTACATATTATATATATACTTTTGCTAGTTTTTTTGTTCTTTGAAATGAAGGGATACTGAAGGAAATTAATTAAAATTATTTTGCTACATGTATTAATATTTTATTTCAAAGTTCAGCCACAGAAGATATTCCTTATATTAACATTTTTTCTTGGGATTATATTTTATTTCAAATCTAATTTTAAAACGATTGAAGTAACATTAATATTTATATAATATTAAATGGTACAGTCAATATTAAACACCGGTTGATATGATCAAGTTGTGAGGCAAGTACATCATATCCACTATGACATACTTCTCAACTTCTGTTTGCTAAGTATGCCTTTAGTTGACTATAATTTTGCTAGACACCAAGACTGATAAATCTTTGTGTAATACTAAAACATCATGTTTATACACACATTAAAAAAATTTTTTAATATATACAGATTTCAAAATTTTTTAATGCGGTATACGACATCCATTATTATTGTGATAAAATTGAAAATTTTCTCAATATTATATCTGATTACGTTGAATTTTTTCAATATTATATCTGATATACATACGGGATATTGTTAATAAAATTATTTCAGTCTCCAATATAGAAACTTCGTCTTTTTCGTAACTTTGATTGAATTTTTTTCGAGCTTTGTGACTTGTTCTGTATTTTTGATTATATTTGCTTATAACAGATACATAATTTTTTTATAATTTAGCTGTTTCGATTACGTGAGGTGCAGCCTGAGATGATATTGTCTAAAGATACATCTATCTATAGTAAAATCTTCTTCACTCAAATCCATTCTACCGTATAAAGGTATAACTATCCTACAAAAACAATCTCATAATGTGATTTTATGTAATATTATTAAATTGAAATTTAAATTGCATATAGTGCATACATTACGATTATAAAATATATAAATTGCTACGGAATTAATAAATTAATAAATTCGAAAAAAATATCGTATTTATAAAAGGAGTCACCTTTTTCCCCGTAGATCATCAAGCTGACCAGATAAAATTGCAGCTAAAGCAATTGCTCCATAACAGTCGTAGTAACATTCAGACTTGTGTAGTTGTATAGATGCATAATAAATCCACTCTGGAGCTACGGAAATAAACCTGTCGATCACGCAACGTGGTATGTTTCTTAAAGGACACGCTACATACTCTTTCGTAGGAATATTCAATTCTTTAGGTGAATCCGTTTGTTTTTTCACCTCTTGGAATAAATCAGAATTTGTACCTTGAACTTCCTAAGAATTAAGATTATAATACAAATAATTTATCTAAGTGAATACAACACTTTTCCTTGATGTACTAATTAATGAAATAAAATAATGTATAAATTATATATATAGAAGAGCTATTAACTTACAATAACTGTTATTTTTGAATTGCACCCTTTAATAGCTATTGCAATAGCTGTTGTTAATCCGCAACCTTCAATTGCCGTCGGCAAAAGTACCACATCAATTTCACTTTGTTGCTTTATAATTTCTATGCCCAAGGTGGCTTGACCAATAATCATGTTTGGATGATCATTTCTATCGAAGAAATATTAAATAATTTACTCTCATGAACTTATTATTAACGAAAGAAGTATATCTTTTGTGGTAATAATAAAAATGATAAAATAAATTATTAATTAATGTCTTTCAAATTAACTAATTTTTGAGTGATAAAATTGGAAGCATACCGAAAATAGGTATATTATATTGATGAAAATATTTTTTTTAACAAAAAGATATTTTTATTTAATATTAATAACAAATTTTCGATGGGATGCACTAGTAGCGCATATTAAAAACGTTGTATACTGACTTAATCTGAGTATAAAAACAAAATATAAATATTTCAAATAATAAAAAACATATATTTTTACTTAATAACATAACATTTTAACATTGTATTAAGGATTTCAATTGAAGCTGTTTTTATATTTATATTAAATACATCTTTATGTCAACCTAATTAACACACAATATATAAAAAATATTTATTACATAAAAATATTAATTAGACACTTAAAAAAATATTTTTTTAAATTTTGTATACTGATTAGGAATTTGTATTAAAAATTTGATTGAATGTATTTATTGCTTACTGGTGCGTGTTAACACGACAATAAGCAATGAATGCGTCCAATCAAATTTTCAAAAGATTTTGTTAAAAAGAAGAATACCCATCAAGATAAAATAAGTCTTCCTTCATGGCGATGTCTAAAGCCGCACGATGAGCTTCTAGTAAGTTATTACCCCTGACAAGCACTCGTGCTAATAGATACGCTCGACATATCCCGAGTTTTTCTTCTGCCGTTGTTGTCGGCAGCACCACCGTCACCGGTATCTTATATCGATCTCCATAATAACAGATAGTAAATGCAAAGCTGCCTGATGAGATTGTTATGACACCTTTGTATTTCTGCTCTTCTGATAGATGTAGTAAACTGTAAATCACGCCGCGTGCTTTGATGCTATCGGTAACTTGATAAAGTTCTTTCTTCAGATAAATATCGAAATCCCTTCTGTTGAATATGCGTTCGCTCTAAAGCAATCATATTACATTCGATTAATAAATATTCTTCAGAGATTTTTTATTTATATTTTGCATTGCAAGAGAAAAAGAAAGAGAGAGGAAAGGAATAAAATTGATATTTTTTTGTTCTACTATTTATGTGTATAATATATACGATAAGATTATTATTTAAAATAGTTTTTAAATTGTAAGTTGATTATTTGCAACAGCAACGCAATGAAACTGAAAAACGAAATTTTCCAGAAAATGAATTCAAATATTTTCAATTATTATAATTTTCTAACATTAATTTTGAAATTTTGTAATTTTTATATAATAACTGATTGCAGAGCGATAAAAGTATATTTTTCTGCTTTATATGTTTCTATTTCTTTTTTACAAGCAGATAAAAAATAACAACATTTTTCGGTTATTTTATCGTTGTAGCAAATATCCATAATATATAATTTATTTTGATTTATAGTTATAATTAGTTATATTTTAAGTCTTTTTAATATATAAAATAAAAAAATATACTTTTTATACTTATTAATATATCTTATTTGTATACACACTTGTGTAATTGATATTTACATATTTTGAAATATGGATCGTACAATTTTGTGATTGTACTTTCTAAGCATACATAATGACATGTTTATAAATATCTCAGATTATTAATTTGTACTAATTTTAAAAGTGTTAAGAATTAAACTTTATAATGTTATTTATTACCTGGAAACAAGGTGTTTTCAAAATGTATCTTTTTAGAAAAGACGCCGCCTGTTTGATTGTGACATATGAAATTTCATATTCTTTCCCGAGTGCTGATTTGATATATCCCTTTTCAATTACATTCTACAAAAAAAATATTAAACTGATTAACTTGTGTATCTCTTCCACATTTCACTGAATATATACAATATAATATATGATTACGATTATTATTTCGGATAATGCAAATAAATCATTAGTGTATTAATATCGAATGGGGAAAGAATTATATATTCTTTAATACAATTATTTTCAAAATAGGAATTGTATTATTTTCTACATTTTTGGAATGGAATTTCACTTTAAAGAGTGAAAATTGATCCAATTTTGAAAAAGAGTGATTCAATTTTCAATCTATGAAAGTGAGATTTCACTCGTCAAAGTGAGATATATACTCTAAAAATTGTAGATAATACGCGTAAAAGTATAATTATGTATAATCTACATATCAATATTTACTTGATGAATATTTTGCTTTGAAATTAAGTGATTGTGAAAATCTAAGATTATACCCATCCAAAATTGAAGTCTGGCCGTTTCAAGGTTCGGGCTACAGTATAAGAAAAACTCCACGCATTCGATGTCATAGTCTCCATCAATTGTAATGCTGATGTTATTGATTGTATTGCTGTCTTCATCGATTGCATTGCTGTTGCCGTCGATTGCATTGTTGTTTCCATCGATAGCACTGCTGACTCCATCGATTGCATTGCTGTCTCTGTCGATTGCATTGCTCCCTTCTTCTCTTTCTTCTGCTTTTTTTTCTTTGGCGAGAGAAACATGTTTAAAATTAAAAAATTGCACGAGAATCACTTGCAATTACAAACCGCACTAATTAAAGGGTAATGTCGAACTCAAATTTTTATTATCGTCTTTAGATACAATTCGCTTCTCGCAAAGAATTAACTAACTCATCAATAATAAATACATCTCTATCATTCGTTCTTTTCTAAAGCTTTTGTTTTCTTTTTCTGCAATAAGAGAAAAAATGGAAGAAATAAAGAAGAGAAAGAGAGAATAGATATATATGTACTTTGTCTTTATACTTTGCAAGCAACCAATGACATCCGATATATTATGAATATGTATATTCCTTTTTCCCTTACATTCTATATGTATATAATCTTCATTTTTTTTATTTTTAAACTTTTTGATTTTATTTTCATATTTTAATTTATTACATGTTAATAAAATTTTACAATATCTGTTTAATTATTGAGCGATGATTTAACTTGTCTCTCCCTCTCTCTTTAAGTTCGAAAATTAACTTTTATTATTCTTTGACGTAAGAATGAAGACAAAAATATTTTTGCAAATATGAAAAATATTATAAATTTCAGCTTTATTGTAAATATGGCTTTTTTTCTTTAATTAGTGAAAAAATGTGTTGTAATAAATCATATTATTTTTTGTATCAATCCTTGATTGCCAACAGTGATACAAAAATAAAAATTGCCCGATTTATATAATCGAAACATATGTATTTTTCAATTTCATGTACTTTTCTTTAGAATGCATCATATACGTATAATCTATATATATGCTTTTATTACTAGTTTTTTGTTCAAGAGATGAAGGACCGCTGAAGGATATTAATTAAAATTATTTTCTTATTACTTATATACCAATATTTTATTTCTTTATTATTATGTACCACATACTAAAAGAATACGTATATTTCCTATTAGTTATACATATTTGTTCAAATTGAAGAATTATAAACATATAATATATATCAGTTAATCTTGGAAACAATGTTATATATATAGATATACTTTATTGTTTTATATATAACATATTTTATTATAACATATTTTATATACAAAA